GTGGCATTTCTCTGCCAGCTGGTGCTGGCGGGAGAGCAGCTACAGCACATTGCTCAACACCCACTGCAGCCTGCCCATCGGCCTGGGGGAGCACGCTGCGCCCCCGGGGAGCCCCAGAGCACGACCTGCCTGCTCACAGAGTGCTGCTCAGGGCCTCCGGCCTCGTGGGTGACGGTGTGGCCCGGTGCTGTGGCAGAGGGTGCTGGAGGGACTGGGCTTTTGGCGTCTCGCTGTCCACATCTGCTGGTGTGGCTGGGCCCTCTGTGGGATTCGGGAACCTCCTTCACCTCGGGGGGCGAGTTTGTGCCGGAGGTGCACTTGAATTTAGTTTTCCCTGAGATGGGGATGGCTCTAGAATGAGGAGTCAAGCTGGAAAGGGGGACAGGGGATGAGTCTGTGCTGTTTCTGACCGTCCCAGGAATGGAGTTATACCAGAAAAGAACCAGACAGCATATTCTAAGGAAAACAGAGGAAGGACTTTTATCTTTATGTGCCTATAGTATGCTTAACTGGGGGAACTCTGGGAAGGGAAAGTGAACCCGTGTGTTTTGGTGGGTGAAGCAGGAAAAGGGGCCTTGCGTTTGGTCTGCATTGCTGAATCCCTTTCCTCTGCTCTGTGTTGCACAGATGCCAGGGAGTCGGTCATCCCGCTCCATGAGGGCCAAGCGTACAATCGCTCAGTTTCTCATCACTTCTGCTACACCAACACACACATCCCACAATGGCACGACATATGGACCAGGATGCAGGTGAGAGGCGAAGGCAGGTCCTCCCGGGTCTGGCTGGGCCAAGCCCGTCTGGCAGCTGTGGCCGTGCCCCCGTTTGCTTTCCTCCTCTGTGCAGATCCGGGTCAACAGCAGCAGGATGATCCGAGTCACCCAGGTGGACAGCGAGGAGGAGCTAGAGGAGTTCAACATGTGGAACGTCATTTTCTCCTTCCTGAAGGAGAAGCTCAACGACACCAGCATCTACGTGGATCTCTACAGCAACAAAACCTGCCTGAAGGTTGAGCTGCTGGAGGCTAACACCACATACTGCATCGTCCTCTTCCGACGTATGTCTCCTCTGTGGTGGGGGCTCCTGGGGTGGGAGGTGGGTCTGCCTGTGCTGGCGCTCTCAAGGGGGCAACGAGGAGGTGGCCAAGCGAGCTCATGGTCTGGGGGCCAGCAGGGCTGGTCCTTCCTTGGGAAGGAAAATGGGCCTGCAGAGGGAAGCGTGTCTTCGTCCATGGGATATAAAGTGGGGGAATTTAGGGCACTTGTTGGAGGTTCACCTGGGATGCTGCCCCTTTCCTGTCCTTGTGACCACATGGCAGGCTGGAACTCAACCCGGAGGGCACCATGCCAGGGTTCCTCTCAACCCGGACTCGCTCTCTTTCCAGGCTTTGACCCTAAACTGTTCCTGGTTTTCTTTCTGGGCCTCTTGTTGTTCTTCTGTGGGGACATGCTGAGCAGGTGAGTCACCTCCTTTCCTCTATGAGCTGGGGATAAGGAGGGTTGGGTGGGCAGTGCCTGGTTGGCTCTACAGCCTGCAGGCTCTCAGGGGGTTGCTCCCAGCGGGTGTGTTTGTGCACAGGCATCCATGAGCTGTAAAATACCTTGTACACATGTGTGATCTCTACAGAAGCCAACTCTTCTACTACTCAGCCGGGATTAGTTTTGGCTTGCTGGCCTCGCTGCTCATCCTTGTCTACATGATGTCCAAGGTCATGCCCAAGGTGAGTGTCAGGCTGTCTGGAGGTGAGAGACCTTGCAGCAGTAGCCCTTTCTACACCTGTATGGTTGTTCTGGTGAGAGTGGTGGAGTACATGGCCTTGGGGTACTGGGTTGTGGGTCTGGCTTTACATGGAGCAACACTTGGTAGCTGGGGGGAGGTAGCCATGGCTGCCCACTGCCTGCCTTGAATTTCCCATCTCCTCTCCTAGAAAAATCCTGTTTATTTCCTGCTGGTAGGAGGCTGGTCGTTTTCCCTGTACCTGCTTCAGCTGATCTTCAAGAACCTACGGGAGATCTGCAAGTCTTACTGGCAGTACCTCCTAGGTAGGTATGAGCCCTTCGGACTCGCCAGTTCACCAGTCTGCGTGTCTCCTACTGGAGCTGCAACGTGCTGGTGGAAAATACTGAGGCTTCCTGCCCACCTCGTTGCTGCAGACGCTGCCCTCATGCCCCTGAGAGAGGCGGGCTCCAGTGTCAGATTTAACTGCAGCCCTGGCAGATGCTGCTCAGCTGGCTTCTGTCAGACAGACTGAGCCCGCTGGTTCGTGCCTGCCCGATCCCTCTGCTCTCCTGCAGGCTACCTGCTGCTCGTGGGCTTCATGAGCTTCGGCGTGTGCTACAGGTATGGCCCGCTGGAGAACGAGCGCAGCATCAACCTCCTCTCCTGGGCCCTGCAGCTCCTGGGCTTGCTGCTGATGTACTCAGGCATCCAGATCCATCCCATTGCCTTGGCCTTGGTGGTCATCGCTGTCTGCACCAAGAACCTGGACTACCCCATGCAGTGGGTCTTCGCTGCCTACAGGTGAGGGCTGCAAGCACCTCTGCTTGCTCCTGATTCCCATCCATTGCCAGGCCTGGGCGAGCTGCTAGATGGAGCCTATGTTGCAGAACCACGGCATTTTCACTGGGGTTTGGGGCTGGGGTGGGTATAGTGGGGGAGTTGTGTCCCTTCTCCCTGAGGTTGGTGCGGGAGAGTGCCCTGCTTCTCCTTGTGGCTGGGAGCCTCCCTTGGGAGCGAGGAGCGGAGGCCGGAGGGACATGCTCTGTTCCTCCCACTGCCAGCTCTGACCCAGCTGCCCTGGGAGCTGGGCCCGTACTGGGGGTCCTGCCCCGGCTGGGTGGGCAGTAACTGGTGCTACTCTGCTGGCAGGAGAGTACAGAGTGCCAGGCTCGGGCCGAGCCCACCTCGCCTGCTGACAGAGGAGGAGTACCGGGTCCAGGGTGAGGTGGAGACGCGCAAGGCCCTCGAGGAGCTTCGAAGCTACTGCAGAAGCCCAGATTTCTCTGCCTGGACTGCAGTCTCCCGCATCCAGTCTCCCAAGAGGTAATGTCCCTTAGCAGTGTGTTCAGGGTGGCTGACCTGCGTCTCCATGTGCTTCTGAAAGCCTGGGGTCACTCTGTGCTGTCACTTCTGGCTTTAGAGATAGGGAGAAGGAGGCACAGAAGGTCCATGGTGTGTGGAAGCAGGGTGTGCCACAGGGGAAGGACAGATAACACTGAGTCCTGGCACTGAAACACTTCGCCCTAGCTCCTTGCGTGCCAGGGCCTCGCAGGAGGCTGCCAGGCATGCGTGCACAACATGCTTCTTTGTGGCTTATTCCCAGGTTTGCTGACTTTGTGGGTGGCGCCTGTCATGTCACCCCCAACGAGGTCTCTGTCCATGAGCAGGAGTACGGCCTGGGTGGCATCTTCCTTGAGGACCAGCTCTTTGAGGAGGAGGAGGAGGAGGATGACTCCTTTAACAGGAGTCACATGAGTTACTTCCACAACCACCTGGATGCTGATTGAGGTCAGCTACCCCAGACCCACAGAGATGAGGGGCAGAACTGCTGCTGCTGCTTCCTCACTGCCCTGACACCTGTGGAGCACAAAGAAGCCCTGTTTGCCAGGGAGAGCTGGTGCATCTGCTCCCAGCACCCCCAGTCCCACCCCAAGCTGGGCTGCCGTGAACTCTGCAGCAGAGCCTGGTGGAAGGACAAGGGGGGCTGACACCCTTATCTTCCCCAGGCAGCTCCTGCCAGGCTAAGGCACGAAAGCTTCTGTCAGCACAGCCCTGGGTGTTGGCAGGGGAGATGCAGGGAGCTGGTCCTGGCTGGGGACCGCAGGACAGGCGAGGTCTGCACTGCTGACAAGATGTGGGACGCTGGTCCTGTCTGAAGGTGGACTGGAGCCACCCTGACTTTTGGTGTGGGTGCTTGTGAGCTCCCAGTGTGTGAATCATAGAGGCAGGGACCTCCTCCCCAGGTGTGGGTGCTGACCTGTCTCCTGCGAGCACCCTGAGCCCCATCCCTCAGCACTGCTGCTGTGGCCAGCAGACGGGAGCCCCTCTTCCCCACCCTGCTGCCTCTGGGCTGCCGGGCATCCTGGCTCTGCCAGGAGTGTCTCTGCCTGCCGGGGTGGAGACAGAGCAAAAGTGCAGGTGCCTGTGAGGGTGATGTGCACGAGAGGAACTTTGGACCTGTCCCACCAGTACCTGCGTGCTCAGCATCTGCCTGCTGCCAGGCTGCTGTGGGGAGGGAGCGGGCAGCAGGTGACCTGCTCCTCCTCTTCCTGCTGTTACCAAAGATGCCAGAGGGCTCCAGATGGTTGGGCTGTGCCTCTGCCTTGGCTTAAGTCTTGTGTGGATACCAAAAAACCCAGCGCCTCCCTGGCGGAGACGCAGCTTGGCTGGCCCATCCGTGTGCATGTTGCAGAGCTCGGGAGAAGGCAGGCTTGAAGTCTGCTTGGTGCCCCACATGCTCCCCCCGCTCCCCCCGGCTGCTGTGATGTGGCGGAGGCCATGCTCAGCCTCCCTCTCCCTGCACCTCTGTCTGCCAGGCAGTCTCTGGGCTGAGGATGAGTGTGGATGTGCTTCCTCCTCCCTGGCAGTTAGGCGTTGGCAGCTCCCTGTCCCCTTGAAGCTGGTGCCCTCCACCCTTAACCTGCTGTAACATGGGACCCATCCCCACTGTGCTCCTCTCCTGGCTGGTGCAGGCAGGGGATGGCCCTGCCTGTGTTCCCACTCCCCATGCTGGGGAGGGGGCTTTGCTCCCTGGCAGCCAGCTCAGCACCACAGGTCCTCGGCCTTGTCGAAGCACAAAGCTGGAGGGAATGCCCCAATCTATGCAACTTTCTAAGCAATAAAGCTGCCCTCCGGTAGCCTTCTTGCCCCGTGGCTGCTCTGCTGCCCGGGGCCTGGGCTCCCGCAGCCCAGCCTGTATCTTCCCTGTGTCACTGCCGGAGCTTATGCTATTAGTTTGTTTCTGTCCCAGGTTTACTCCCCTGCCCTTGCTGCGCTTTCCTCCCTGCTTTGGTGCGAGCAGCCTCTGTTACTGTGTCCCTCTGTCCCCTCTGTGTGGTTAACAACTGATTATATTTTTAATAAAGATGTATTTTGTAGGTATTTTTTGTCTGTCCTGCAGTGACCCCGGGGCTCGTCCTTGGCTCTGGCTCTTCTGCCCATGGGAGCTCGCTCTGCTGAGGATGCTGCGTGGTGCTTGGGGGACAAAGAACAGGCCCCTGGGTGACGGGTTCCCTGTGGCAGCCCCAGAGCAAAGGCAGGACTGACCATGGCCACAGGTGTCTCGCCCTGGCTGCGATGCAGGCAGGTGTCCTCTTCCCCAGGAGCAGCTCTGGGCGCTCCCGGCTCTGCCAGCCCCTGTACCTTGCCCCGGTTTCCCGCAGCCCTGGGAGGAAGCTCCCTTTGTTTGCTTGGCTGCAAGTGATTTTTCTCTGCTTGTTCCTGCTACGAGCTGCTGGGGTGGGGAGTGGGGCAGCAGCAGCCCATCTGGGCTGGGACCCTGCAGGGCTGGTGGGCAGCCTGGGGCTGCTTCCCAGCTGGCTGGTGTGCTTTGTGCCTCAGTTTCCCTGTCTGCGAGCAGGTGTGGTGCTCTGAGGGAGGTCCCTCCGGCCCCCCGCCCCTCCGTGGGCTGGACCGGGCCAGCACCGGGGGCTGGGCTGGGCTGAGCCCTGCCGGCTTCCAGGCAGCCCCAGCTGAAGCCACTCCAGGAGCCGCTGCTCTGGGACTGGGAGGTGAGTTTGCGGACCCCTCTGCTCCCAGCCACCAGCCTGAAGCACCCAAGCCCCTTGCACCCCAGGGCTGGCCGGGGGTGCCCTGTCCCCAGAGCCCCCATCCCAGGGGACCTCCATTCCACAGGGCGTGGGGAGCTCTGAGATCCAGCACCAGGGGGAAGACTGGGGCGAGCCCAGGGCTGCCCTGGAGCTGCACAGGGGGCTCTTGCTCTGGTTCCCACCTGTGCTCACCCTGGGGTCCCACACCCAGCAGCACGGGAGTCTTGGTGCTGGTGCCCTGTGCAGGGGGAGGCTGCAGGGACCCACCGGAGGCTCTGCCATCCTCTCTGGAGGCTGCTGCCAGTGGGGCAGCTCCTGATGGAGCTGTCTCCATCACCCCGTTTGCCCCATCCTTCCCCACCTCCTCACTCATGAACTTTCCCCGGGCACCGATAAGTGGGGCTGGGTTTACAGCCCTGTGCCTGGGCTGTAAAGCAAGGGTGAAGGTCACCCCAGGGAACACGGCTGCTCTGTAAAAGACAGGTGAGGGATCGGTGGAGCGTGGGGAGAAAGCAGCACTGTCTCTCATGGGAGCCCTTGGGTGCTGCTGGCTGCAGGGCTGTTGAGGGGGCCTGGGCTCCCCCAGCCCTGAGCCTGTTCCTTCCCCTCCCCAGCTTCCCCCTGCCAGGAAGGAGGGAGGAAGCGGAGGCTGAATTCATCTCTGCCTCAAGAATAGGATCCAGGTGTCCACATTTCCTGGCCGGGCCCCCACTTCCCCCGCAGTGGTGGGCAGGAGGCATCCTGAGCCCCCATCCCCACCACGGGGTCCTGGGCACCAGGGTGCCCCAGGAAGGAGCCCTCTGTGTCAGTGCAGGTGTGCAGCTGCCTTGTCCCCTGTCCCCGGTGGCTGCCAGCCCCAGCACAGTGCCTGGGGGAGCTGGGCATGGCAGGGGCAGGGAGCAGCCAAGGTCTCAGCTGCATCCTGCTGGCCAAGGGCCGCATCCTGCCCTGCCCCACGCTGGGCTCAGCCGGTGCTTCGAGCCTTGCCATACATCTCAGTGGGTCTGTGCCCCCTGGGTGCTGGGGTACCCTGCTCTCCGTGGGGCCCTTATGAGCCTCCGAGGGTGGGGGCCAGCCAGGGCCTCGGGGGTGCAGGGGCTGCTGAGGACTGCGGGGGGGGGTGTTTTGGGGAAGGGGCTGCGTGTCCATGGGCTGCAGCCCCTTCCTCAACTCTGCCCCAGCTGCCCCGGAGCTGCCCGGCCATGGAAGCCACCACCTCGCTGCTGGATGCCGCAGCGGTCGGGGACCTGGTGCTGCTGGACCCGCTCACTGAGAATTCGCTGCTCCACACCCTGCAGGAGCGCTTCCGCCGCAGTGACATCTACGTGGGCACTGGGCCAGGGGCATGGGGTCTGGGATGGGGAGCAGGGTATGGGGTCTGGGATGGGGAGCAGGGTACAGGCTTTGGGGTGGGGAGCAGGGGAGAGCACAGGATCTGGGCTGGGTCCTCCCAGCCCTGCACCCACGCCGTCCTGCTTGCCTGCAGACGTACATCGGGAACGTGGTGATCTCAGTGAACCCCTACCGGTCCCTGCCCATCTACACCCCCGAGAAGGTGCAGGAGTACCACAACTGCAACTTCTTTGCTGTGAAGCCCCACATGTGAGCATGGGGAGCCCGACAGCCCTGAGGTGCCCTCAGTCCCCCTGGATCCTGCTAAGGGCTTCACCCACGGGCAAGCCCGAGGCTTCAGGGTGTGGGGGAGTCCACTCGGGCAGCCTTAAAGCCACAACAGGGGCTCTTGGCATTTCCTGAAGCCCCTGGACCCCTCCAGCCCCCTTCTAATTCCTCCTCGCCGCCCCCAGCTATGCTATCGCTGACGATGCCTACCGCTCGCTCCGGGATCGGGACAGGGACCAGTGCATCCTCATCACTGGCGAGAGTGGGGCCGGCAAGACAGGTAGAGCTGGGGCTGCTGCCAGGCGCTCACAGGGCTGCGAGAGGCTCGCGGGATGGGCAGGCATGGCCCCGGCACCTCCAGCCCTGGCACCCATGGCCCCTCACTCACAGAGGCCAGCAAGCTGGTGATGTCCTACGTGGCGGCCGTGTGCAGCAAAGGGGAGGAGGTGGACAAGGTGAAGGAGCAGCTCCTCCAGTCCAATCCCGTACTGGAGGGTAAGCACCCACACCTCGCACCCTGTGCCCATCCCAGGGCTCAGCACAGCTCCCCCTGGACCACACTGTAACCCCATCCTCCCCCCACAGCCTTTGGAAACGCCAAGACTGTCCGCAATGACAACTCCTCCAGATTCGTGAGTGACTGGGGAAGTGGGATGGTGGAGCCGCATCCCGTGGGGCTGGACCCTGCTGGGGCCACGCGGACCCTGATGGGGCTGGAGGCACAGCAGGGGATGGGGACAGGGACATGGGGAGTGGAGCTGCTGCTCCCCCACAGGGTCCCCCTGCCCTGACCCCAGCCCCGTCCCTCAGGGCAAGTACATGGACGTGGAGTTTGACTTCAAGGGGGAGCCCCTGGGAGGGGTCATTAGCAACTGTGAGTACCAATCGCCCGTCCCAGGGGGTCCCACCCCACATGCCCCGGTGACACCGACCCCTGCCTGCAGACCTGCTGGAGAAATCCCGCATCGTCCGGCATGTGAAGGGCGAGAGGAACTTCCACATCTTCTACCAGCTCCTGGCCGGGGGCTCAGCGCAGCTGCTCCGTAGGTCCAGGACCCCAGCACGGGGGGTGGAGGGGGGCCGGGAGGGGCCATGGCTGAGCAGCCTCCTCCCCACCCAGAGCAGCTGAAGCTCCGCCAGGACTGCCAGCACTACAGCTACCTGAACCGGGAGAGCTCTGGCCTGCCCGGCATGGATGATGCGGCCAACTTCCGCGCCGTGCAGGTACTGCTGGCTGGGGCCTGGGAGGCCAGGAAGCTGTGACACCCCCCCCTCCAAAACACCCTGGGGCTGTTGCCAGCCTCCTGAGCTGCCTCTGTCCATCCCCAGGATGCCATGAGGGTCATAGGCTTCTCACCCACCGAGGTGACGGCGCTGCTGGAGGTGACAGCTGTGGTGCTCAAGCTGGGCAACGTGCAGCTGAGCAGCAACTACCAGTCCAGTGGGATGGAGGCCTGCAGCATCGCTGAGCCGCAGGGTAGGGACAGGGATAGGGATGGGCCCGGGGGGGTGGGGTGGCCCCTGCTTGGCCTGAGCACCACTGCCTCCCCGTGCAGAGCTGCAGGAGATCTGCGAGCTGATCGGGCTGGACCCCAGCATGTTAGAGCGGGCGCTGTGCTCCCGCACCGTAAAGGCGCGGGACGAGGCAGTGCTCACCACCCTCAGCGTCCCCCAGGTGAGTGGGACCGTCCCCTGCTGGGGGCCTGGCAGCCCCCCAGGAGCCGGCATGAGCTCCTCGCCCCTCTCCCCAGGGCTACTACGGCCGGGACGCACTGGCCAAGAACATCTACAGCCGCCTCTTCGACTGGCTGGTGAACCGCATCAACACCAGCATCCAGGTGAGCGCCCAGGGTGACAGGCCCCAGAGCCCCACCCCACACAGGGCCAGGACACAGCTCAGCACCCCGGTGTCTCCCCAGGTGAAGCCGGGCAAGCAGAGGAAGGTGATGGGTGTCCTGGACATCTATGGCTTTGAGATCTTCCAGGCGAGTGCAGGGCCCACCCAGCCCCATCCTGCTGCTGGGGGGGGAGCCAGGAGCAGCAGGTGGGACGTGGGGCAGGGCCGGGGGCTCGGGCATGACCTGCCACGCAGGACCCTTCTCTTGCAGGACAACGGCTTTGAGCAGTTCATCATCAACTACTGCAATGAGAAGCTGCAGCAGATCTTCATCCTGATGACCCTGAAGGAGGAGCAGGAGGAATACGTCCGAGAGGTACCCCCTGCCCATGCCAGTCAGGCTGGATGTGGCCCCTCTGCCTGTGCAGAGCACGGCCCCAAGGAGCCTTGGCCCCCCAGGGATGGGGAAGTGCCAAAGACAGCCCCACAGCATGTCCCTCCCTCCCCCCGCTCCCTGCCGGGAGCAGATTCAATAGCAGGAAGGCAGGGAGGGATTCAGGATCCCCGTTCCCGTGGCCAGGCATCCGGTTCCTGCCCCACATCAGCTGGGGGCTGTCCGTGGGGCAGGGTCCATGCGCCATGTGTCCAGGGGTCCGTGCGTCTGACCCCTGTCTGCTCCCAGGGCATCCAGTGGACCCCAGTGGAGTTTTTCGACAACAGCATCATCTGCAACTTGATCGAGAACGTGAGTTGCCCCCTTGTGCCAGGGGCCCGGGTCAGGGTCCCAGCTCCCCCGCATTGCACCCTGCACGAATTTGGGCTGAGCAGAGCCTGGAGCAGCCCCGGTTCGATGGAGCCGCTGCTCAGGGACAGGGCTGGTTTGGGGTGACGTTGTCCATCATGGTGCAGAGCAAGTGCGGAATCCTGGCCATGCTGGATGAGGAGTGCCTGCGGCCCGGAGTGGTCAACGAGGATACCTTCCTCACCAAGCTGAACCAGCTCTTCGCCACCCACAAGCACTATGAGAGCAAGGAGACCCAGAACGCCCGGCACATCATGGACGCCAGCCTGCCACCACAATGCTTCCGCATCCACCACTATGCTGGCAAGGTCCGCCAGCAGCCGCGGGCACCCGCTGGCACTTGCAGCCCTGGCCCCACTGGGGGCAGCCAGGACCCCTGGGTTCTCTTCCCAGCTTTGCATGGGTGACGTGGGGCTGGACTGGGAATGGGCATGGAGACACTGAACCGTAACCCGCTTGCTCCCTCCTCCCTCCCCAAGTGCGGCCGCCCCAGGCACCCGCTGAGCACTGACCCCACTCCTGTGCCCAGGTGACCTACAACGTGACAGGCTTCATTGAGAAGAACAACGACCTGCTCTTCCGCGACCTCTCACAGGCCATGTGGGCCGCCCAGCACACACTGCTGCGCTCCCTCTTCCCTGAGGGAGACCCCCAGAGGGTCTCCCTCAAGCTGCCCCCCACCGCAGGCTTCCAGTTCAAGGCCTCAGTAGCAACGCTGATGAAGAACCTCTATTCCAAGAACCCCAACTACATCAGGTACCGGCCCTGGGAGGGAGCTCCGGCCCTGTGTCTGGTGCCAGCGGGACCCCCCCAGCCCACCACTGCCCTCCCCAGGTGCATCAAACCCAACGAGACCAAAACAGCAATGCTCTTCACGCCAGAGCTGGTGCTGGCGCAGATCCGGTACCTGGGGCTGATGGAGAACGTGCGGGTGCGGCGGGCAGGCTATGCCTTCCGCCAGCTCTACGGCCTCTTCCTGGAGCGCTACAAGATGCTCAGCCCCCGGACCTGGCCCCGCTGGGCCGGCAGTGACAGGTACGGGGCTGGGCCAGACCATGGACGTGTCTGGCAGCCCCCTGGCCCAGGGTCTGCGGAGACTCTGACCAGCCTCGTCTCCTGCCATGGTGCAGGGAGGGGGCCAAGGTGCTGCTGGCGGAGCTGGCGTTCCCCCCCGAGGAGCTGGCGTTCGGCCACACCAAGATCTTCATCCGCTCACCACACACCGTGAGTCCAGGAATGGGGGATCGGAGGACCTCGCTATGGGGCAGTTGGGCTGCTGGGGAATGCAGGGCCTGACCCAGAGCGTGTGCCAGCCCCACGGGTCCCCTCGCCCGGTTGGCAGCCCCAAGCCCATCCCAGGGGCTCCTGGGTGACGCTGCAGCCCCTGGAGGCAGCTCGGCATCCCAGCGCTCGCCCTGGCTGTCCCCAGCTCTTCGACCTGGAGAGGCGGCGCCAGGAGCGCGTGGCCCAACTCGCCACCCTCATCCAGAAGATGTTTCGGGGCTGGCGGTGTCGGACCCAGTACCAGCTGATGCGCAAGAGCCAGATCATCATCTCTGCCTGGTTCCGGGGCCACATGGTGAGGAAGGCGGGGTCCCAGCCACGCTTCCCCTGCCCATCCCTCACCCCCTGGGCAGGGCCCCCTGGCTCACCCCACCTCTCCCCACCACAGCAAAAGAACAAATACAAGCAGATGAAGCGGTCAGCACTGATCATCCAGGCGTATGCACGGGGCTGGAAGGTGAGGGCTGGGCACCCCGGGGCCACTGGCCAGGGCCGGCAGATCTCCTAGTGCAGGCAGCATGGGCAGCGCGGGCAGTGGGGTGAGGGATGCACAGCGGGGAGGGGCCAGGGGCTCCTCGTGCCCCATGGTGGGACCAGACTCATCTCTCCCTGTCTTCCGTCCTTCTCTCCTTCCTCTCTCCTGCCTCTCTTCCTCTCGCTCCCTATCTGTGTCGGTCTCTCCCCGCCTCGGGCTCCCCGGGCTCTCACCCCCCGCAGTCTCGCCGGCTCCTCCAGGAGCTGAAGTCCCAGTGCCACCGTCGTGCGGCCGCCACCACCATCGCCGCTTACTGGAGAGGGTACCAGGTAACGGGGCCAGCCCCACCACAGGGCCGCGCACCCTGCCCGCTGCCTCTGTCCTGCTGTCCATGCCGCTGTGTCCAGGGCTGTCTGTCTGTCTGCCCACGCTGGCTCCTGCCCACCCTATCAGACTGGAGCAGCTGTCCTCTCTGCTGGGGCCAAATGGGGACAGGGGGGAGGGACACCCATGTCCCGCAGGGGCTGGCAGCGGGAGGGCGGTGAGGTCCCGCATCCCCACCACTGCCACCACTGACGGCCATCTCCGGCAGGTCCGCAGGGCGTACAGGAGGTATTTCCGCTCCGGGGCCAGCGCCCGCCTGGCCAACTTCATCTACCGGCGGCTGGTGAGCGGGGCTGGGGGGAGAGGGGTCATGGCACCTTCCCAGCCCCCTGCCCCCGGGGCTGGCCTGGGCACTGTCCCAATCCCCCGTCATGTTGCCACCCCCAGGTGCAGAAGTTCCTGGTGGGGCTGAGGAGGAACCTTCCACCGCTGTCAGTGATGGACCGGACCTGGCCCCCCACGCCATACAAGTTCCTGGCTGCTGCCAACCAGGAGCTGAGGAGCATCTTCTACCGCTGGAAGGTG